GACGATGATCTGCAAAAAATCAGTATATATATATATATATATAATGCCTCGATCTTAATCTGCAAAAACTTGATCATGTTTACAGTAGACAATGACTTGAAGAAACCGAAACCAGATATCGCCAGACACTCGAACCCACCAATTACCAGAATTATCAGTATCATCAGCTATTTGGGATTTGGTCGCGTGCTCTACTTCTGCGCCTTTCTCTTTAGTCACTGGCTGATTGATAAGGCCCAATTGGTAAGCGCCAGTAAAAGGTAGTCAGGACAGACAGGTACCCTATGTCTAGGCTTGAGGTATCCTGTAGATAGTATTGCCAGTTCGATGGGAAGAGACGAATCAGGAGCTAGCATTATTTAATACTCAGATCGAGACTTTGTCTGTTCGGTTCCATTTTCTTATCTATGGAAAGATATTCTATCGAAAGAATATATTTATAATCGATTAATCGATGAACAATCGAAAACCTTACGGCTTTAAATTAACCTAGAATCATTGGCCTCTGAAGTCTCCAATTTTGTTGAGTTCAATTCCATATACGAGACACCTTAAGCTCTGTTCCAACTCCATCTATTCATAGTGTTATGCCTATGATAGCCTGACGAGTTAGTTATCGATATATTTATTTATAGCTATAATGCTAGAAACTAAAAGGAAGATGGGGATAAAGATAAATAAGAGCCGGTTAATAAACTAATAATCGAGAATCAGAAGAACTTCAATGCCAAATTGGTTGGCTTTATGAGAATAGTTAAAATTCGATATTTATCGATGTTAGATAAACGTTAGATCAAATATTAAAAGGCGAGTTTATCTGGTATCTTTATCCCGCATAGTCTCTAATGGACATCTATATAAATACATGTGCACAACATATCGATAGGCCCATCAAATATTTTATGGTTGTAGGGTATAAAAAATCGCCGTTAATTATAGAAAATTGCTTGTTAATAGCACTGTCGAGTTTAACAGCCGCATAACGTATCTTTACGACGGGCAATACCTTAAACAAAAAATGAAAAACAACAACAAAATACGTAAATATACTGACAAGCATACACTGATAAGCGCACTACCTGTACGACGTGCATTATTGGTCGCCCGGACTTGTCCCACAGATGCGCGGCAACTACAACAAATGACCAACGGAATTGCCAGACAGGGCAGAACAATTTGAAAAGTCATGGTACTTGAGAGCCGTCACGGGAGTGCACCTACAAATATCATGGCTAATTAAAAAAAAAAATATATATACATATATATATATGTATATATATAGAGAATTTAATTATACGAATCTTTTATCAGTTGTAAGGCCATGATATTATGATTTGAATATGTTTTAAAATATATTGAAGCGTTTCTGGTTCGAGTTTTCTTATCGAATGCTAATAAATAAGTCTAATTAAGACATTAATGAACGACCCCAAGCACTTACGTTTATAATGGACAATTTATTTGATGATTACTTAATTAGTTTCACTTTAAGTTTAGCTTTTATATGCACTCAAGATTATAGAAGCTGACTGTACGCAGAATTTTCCAGTTTCATAGAAGCTCAATGCCATGAAATTCGCAATAATCGATTAAATTGATATCGATAAATTGTATATCGATAAATTCGCTTTCTTAATTGCTAATGAAATGTGCAAGGGAATGACGGAATGGAACATGCTCACAATTGTACAGTTAGTTGCACGCTGCACACGAAACAATCGAATGGAACAGCCAGTCATTGTGGCTTACGTGCACAATCATACGACCTGGACTCAAAATGAAATTTCTAAATCGAAACAGGCCATACAATACCCATACGTGTATGCCTGTATACAGAATTAGTGTTAATCCAGACTCTCGAAATTCTCAGTATTTTCACTTAGTAAGCCTGGAGCCAAAACAGTTGTTGCCTCGTTTCGATTATATTTATTTAACAGAAGCAAATCAAAATTGTGAAAAAGGGTATTTAACAGTGAGTGTATTGTGTGTTAGCGATTATTGCAAAAGAAACACGAATAACATATGTACATGTGTATACATATATATATATATATATGTATATATAGTCTTCGGTCTAATCAGAATTGTTGAGCTGGCCACTTGATGAAATCCCGGGTCTAGCACTTGGGAGTCCACTTGAATAGGGGTTTGGCGCCCGATTAATTGCCCATTTTTTTTTTTTTTTATTATTATTTTCTAATTTGTGTGTGTGCGTGTGTGCGTGTGTGTTGTTTGTATTTCAGGCTATTGTTGAATAAGAGAAGCCTTGTATGGCTGGCAATCGTCGCTCTGATGGTCACCGGTCTGACGCTTGGCCTTGTCTTCGGACTGAGATCGAGGGATACGCGCTATATAACTGGAGCCGTGGTCTCCAATGGCATCGGCTGTGCCGAGGTTGGCGGCTCGATGCTACAGGAGGGCGGCTCCGCGGTGGATGCGGCAATTGCAACGCTCCTGTGCGAGGGCATCATGTTGCCGCATTCGATGGGCATCGGCGGTGGATTTGTGGCAACAATATATACGCGTCGCACACGCAAAGTGGAAACGGTAATGGCACGCGAATCGGCGCCAGCTGCTGCAAACAAGGAGATGTTTGTGGGCCAGAAGGAGGTGACGGGCGCACTGGCGGGCGCTGTGCCCGGCGAGATACTTGGCTATTGGGAAATGCATCAGAAATATGGACGACTGCCATGGAAGGCTCTGTTCCAGCCATCCATTAAGATGGCCCGCGAGGGTCATGTTGTGTCCCGCTATCTGGCCGCTGCCATCAGCTCCAAGCTAACCCAGATCAAAAGTGATCCAGCGTTATCCAAAATGTTTCTCAACGATAAGGGTGAGCCGTATGTGGAGCACGATTATATGAAGCGGCCCGCCTTGGCCAATACACTGGAACGGATCGCTAACAATGGTGCCGGCGAGATTTACGATGGCGGCGAGACGGGCGTCAAATTTGTCGAGGACATAACCAAATTGGGCGGCATTATAACACTGGATGATCTAAAGAATTTCAAGTAAGTATTACACTTAATAGTGCTCTAAAAGCAGTAGAGACGGTTAACAGTGTTGGGCAATTGCTAAATGTGCACAAATTATCGATAGTCGATTACCGATGTTTGATCGCGATTACATGAGATGGTAATAATTTAAAAAAAAAAAAAAACTCTCTCTAATCCTAATTACAGAGTGCGCTGGGAGAGCGATGGTCACATATCGGCAAATGTGACCGGAGGATTTACGCTGTATACGACACCGTTGCCGTCGAGCGGTCCGGTTCTGGCCTTCATATTGAACGTGATGAGTGAACTGTATTCGGATAATGAGGGCATTTACTGGCAGCGTGTCATTGAGAGTTTCAAGCATGCGTATGGACAGCGCACAAATTTGGGTGACTACGAAAATGATCCGGAATATGGTCAGAGCATAAAGGATCAGCTGGAGAAACTACTTGGTACCGAGCTGGTGAACACCGTGCGAGCCCTGATAAACGATGAGAAAACCTCACAGGATTACATGTACTACGGCGCCAATTTTACCGTGGAGCCCGATCATGGCACCGCCCACATGAATGTGCTGGCGAGCAATGGCGATGCCATATCCATTACCAGCACCATTAATACATAGTGGGTAGCATTGATTTAACACAATTTGGCGATATAATGAGTTAAACTATATTCTCGCTAATAGCTTTGGCGCCAAGGTAGCTTCGCCGCAAACGGGCATCATATTGAATGACGAGATGGATGACTTCTCGACACCGGGCGTTATTAACAGTTTTGGCGTACCCTCCTCGCCGGCCAATTACATCTATCCACACAAACGGCCCATGTCCTCCATGAATCCCTCGATTATTGTCGATGCCAATGGCGATGTGCGCATGCTGGTCGGAGCTGCTGGCGGCACCAAAATAACAACCAGCGTGGCAACGGTACGTATGGGAACATGGGAACCAAAGCTATCTATTGCACGCCGAGCTGATAACTTCACTTGTTCTCAATATGGCCAGGCGCAGCCAACTTAACGAGCTCCCGCAAAGGCCTTGACGCAGCCAACTTAATGCGTCGCACTTGTTTGCATATTAAACGATGCTGTATTTATTGATCATCCTCTCTTTTCTCTCTTAGGTCATAATGAAGTATCTGATACGCCACGAGAGCATGTCGCATGCCGTTAACGATGGTCGCCTGCATCATCAGCTGATACCTATGCGCATCGATTACGAGGCGGATGTAAATAGTGAGGTTATAGAATATCTGCGCAATGCTGGACACACATTGAGTGATAATCCTGGTGACGGAGGATTCGCTGCAGTTACGGCAATCGGTGCGTTACATGAACCGGAACCGTTCTTTGATCGTCGACGCGTGGGCAGCGTTTTGACATTACAAAATAGAAACAAGATGCAGCATTAAATAGTTACAATTCTGGCTGCCGTATCGGCATCAAATTGGCTAAGCTTAACGCTTGATTGGCGAGATTTTTCATTTTATCATTTGAACTCTCATAATATCTATGTATATATATATATATGTATATATATATATATGTATACATATATACACATTTACACACACATGCATACATGTGCATATATATATATATATGTATATTTATATATATATATATATACATATACCGATATATATATATTCATTGTAACTGTAATTATAATTATTACGCATCTGTACATATGTACATATATTTGTAAATTGTAAAATTTTGTAATGTTTAAAATGATGTAAATAAATGTAACAGCTCGAATATTGCAACAGTTTCGAGAAAGCAATATTACAAATAAAAATTGCATCACAATTTTTAAAAAGTGCACATTTAAACATACGAAGCTTGAGTAACGTTTTCTAATCGACGCAAAGTGGATAACGTAACGCAAAAATCAGCAGAGTATTTTTGCGTAATATTAGTATTTTTCTAAAGTATATTTTGCCTATCGCTTATCGATAGCAGCCGGCATTTATTGCGCATCGCTGCCGCCAGTTGGCGTTAAAGTGCCGAAGGTGCCACCTGATGTGCTAGAAAACGTCAAACGCGTGGCAATTCCAAATACTGCTGCAAACTTTTTTTTGTTTACGTTTACACCGCAGTTAATTCTGCATTGCATTCGACAACGTTGCGCGCGCCTTGCGTATTGTGGTGCGTTCGTGTGAACAGCAGCAGCAGCAGTAAAAACCAATTTGCATTGAACTGTAATTGCTTTGCACGGGCATTTAAAAGTGTTAAGCCGCTACGCTCATTTATCATTAACGTTGATTGCCTTTTGATCAACGCTTTCGCAGCGGCGGCTCACCTGGTTCTCGTTTACACACACACACACACACACACACAAACACTCTGACAGTAACTTACTTTCAGATTCAATCTCACACACGCACACACACACACACACACACACACACTCGTGCATTGACATCTATATCGCATCCAAAGTTAAAAATTCTTAAACAGCCTCTGCCTGCTGCTATCTTGGCTAATTGTTGTGCGGCTTTTGCCTCCATTTGCTTTACATTGCTGTCGCGTAGCCGCTGCTGAGACGCCAACGACAAAGCCAACGGCGACGCCAACGTCGACAAAGCCGTCGACACGTCAACACAAACCGAATTGGAAATCTGTATCCAGCTAACGTAACGTAACTGTATTTCATTAAATCACAATACTGGCGAGATGCGTGTGAGCAACATACGCAGCGGCCGCATTTGCCGCTTGGTTCTCTGCCTGCTGGTCATATTGCCGCTGCTCTATTTGCTGGCCAACTGGAGTGATCATCACAAGCGTGTCCAGGAGGCGTATCATACGCGCTTTGGCGGACCCAAGTTCAGTCATCAGCGCCTCGAGAACAGGCCACGTGAGGTGCCCAAGCTAGTGGAGGGTAAGTACATACATACGCGCACATCTATCCATTGGCCGGATATGCTTCCTATGGAACTATATACAATAGTAGGCCGACTTTGACAATGCGTCGGCCGTAAGGTAAAACTTGCAAATGCCAGGTTTGGTCAAGATAACTTGAAGAATTGTACAGCTTCTCATAAAATATCTCACATAGGACATCTTGACGGTAGATTGCCGGCTCCGGCTAAGTATGTATTGGCTGCAAATAGAAATGCGGACAGTAGCTTTGGAACTGGAACTCTAGTTTGCATAGAAATGGACGAAGGGAATGAAGAACACGGCTATGTTGAATTGGTTCGTCATACTGCCAGGACGTTGCCTTCATCGTGTGACCAAATTAAGATACCCTCTACATACATCTAGAGCAATAAGGTCTTCTTTGCCAGGCATCCAAAATACAGTAAAAACTGAGTCATGGACAGATATCCGCTTTAGGTATCAATTTGTTTCGAGTGCCAAGCGCAATTTCTTTTACGAATACGAGATTTATCGGACATGAAATAAGGTTTCCATATGCTTTGACTAGATCTTGGACTTAGAAGACACGTAATAGAAGAAGACTCAAATCTTTATGTCCTCCAATATGAATAATCATATGTAAAAAGTAATTATACTCGCCATAGCCTGCGATGATATCATAATTATTTTTCGTATCTGTTATGGCCACAACTGGTCTGTGGCGACGGGCTCGCCGGAACAAGTGTCGCATAATTATAATAAGTACATAACTTTAGTTATTGTTTTAGTTATTTGCTGTATTTGCATTTGTTTGCCTGCCGGCCGGTGCATTTTGTGTGTGTGTGTGCGCAGGTGTCGATCGTTATTTACTGGCGAATTGTTTGCATTTGCAGGTCTGGGCAACTTTGAGCCGAAAGATCTGAAGCCACGTAACGGGCCCGGCGAGAATGGAGACGCGCACACGCTGTCGCCGGATAAGAAGAACGTGGCCGATGCCTCTGAAATGGAGTATGGCATGAATATTGCCTGCTCCGATGAGATATCGATGCATCGTTCGGTGCGGGACACACGGCTCGAGGAGTGCAAACATTGGGACTACCCATATGATCTGCCGCCGACCAGTGTCATCATTGTGTTCCACAACGAGGGCTTCTCAGTGCTCATGCGCACCGTGCACTCGGTCATCGATCGCTCGCCCAAGCACATGCTGCACGAGATCATATTGGTGGACGACTTCTCGGACAAGGAGAATTTGCGCACCAAACTGGATGATTACGTCCTGCAGTTTAAGGGCCTGGTCAGGATTATACGCAACACTGAGCGCGAGGGTCTCATACGCACACGCTCGCGCGGCGCCATGGAGGCCACAGGTGAGTTCGCCTCCGAGCCAGGACAAGGGATTTGCCGAAAATTTGTTTTTTGTTTTGTTTTATTATTATCGTGTACTTAAGTATGTATGTATGTATGCATGTATGTATGTATGCATGTATGTATGTATGCATGCATGTGTATGTATGCATGTGTATGTATGTATGTATGAGCGCACGTTTGACGCAAATGTTGACAAAGTTATGTTCGCGCTGCTCTAAAAATTCAAATGCAACGTATTTTAAAGTGGTGCCTTACTCCTCGATTCTCATGAATTCAAGTAAGCTAGCAAGGTTTCCCCACTTTTAGTGTTTTTTCTACTGTGTTGTGTGCTTGTTTTTTTTTTTTTAATGGGTGTGTTTGTATGTATGTATGTAGGTATGTATGTAGGCATGTATGTAGGCATGTATGTATGTATGTAGGCATGTATGTATGTATGTAGGCATGTATGTATGTATGTAGGCATGTATGTATGTAGGTATGTATGTATGTAGGTATGTATGTATGTATGTATGCGTGTGTATGTATGTATGTATGTACATACGTGTGTGCGCGTGTGTGTGTGCGTGTGTGTGTGCGTGTGTGTGTGCGTGTGTGTGTGCGTGTGTGTGTGCGTGTGTGTGTGCGTGTGTGTGTGCGTGTGTGTGTGCGTGTGTGTGTGTGGGTGTGTGTGTGTGCGTGTGTGTGTGCGTGTGTGTGCGTGTGTGTGTGCGTGTGCGTGTGCGTGTGCGTGTGTGTGTGTGTGTGTGTGTGTGTGTGTGTGTGTGTGTGTGCGTGTGTATACAAATAAATTGTATTGTTTTGATTGATGAGTAAAGAATAAAACGGTCAGAAACATAAAGATCTCTAGCTTAAATTAGGATTAGGATAAGAGGATACCTAAGGTGTTGGTTTTAATGGTAAATAGATCTCTAGATTTTGATTTTGTATTCTTTTTAATGGTCTTAAGCAGCATTGATTACATTTTAATTCTGTTGCAGGTGAGGTGATTGTTTTTCTGGATGCGCATTGCGAGGTAAATCTCAACTGGCTGCCACCGCTGTTGGCGCCCATTTATCGGGACCGGACGGTGATGACGGTGCCGATCATTGATGGCATTGATCACAAGAGCTTTGAGTATCGTCCGGTATATGGAAGCGACACCCATTTCCGTGGCATCTTCGAGTGGGGCATGCTGTATAAAGAGAACGAGGTGCCGCGTCGGGAGCAGCGTCGTCGTGCCCACAACTCGGAACCCTATCGCAGTCCAACGCATGCGGGCGGTCTGTTTGCAATAAATCGCGAATACTTTTTGGAGCTGGGCGCCTACGATCCCGGCCTGCTGGTGTGGGGCGGCGAAAACTTTGAGCTGAGCTTCAAGATCTGGCAATGCGGCGGCAGCATTGAATGGGTGCCCTGCTCTCGTGTGGGCCACGTCTATCGCGGCTTTATGCCGTACAACTTTGGCAAGCTGGCCAGCAAGAAGAAGGGCCCGCTGATTACCATCAACTATAAGCGCGTTATTGAGACCTGGTTCGATGATACGCACAAGGAGTTCTTCTACACACGCGAACCGCTGGCACGCTATCTGGACATGGGCGACATTACCGAGCAGCTGGCATTGAAAAAGCGCCTCAACTGCAAATCATTCCAATGGTTTATGGACAACATTGCCTACGATGTGGTTGACAAGTTCCCAGCCCTGCCGGCTAATTTGCATTGGGGCGAATTGCGCTCGGTTGCCTCTGATGGCTGCCTGGATTCTATGGGCCATCAGCCGCCGGCCATAATGGGTCTCTCCTATTGCCATGGCGGTGGCAATAATCAGCTGGTGCGACTGAATGCCGTCGGACAGCTGGGCGTTGGCGAACGCTGCGTGGAAGCGGACCGTCAGGGCATTAAATTGGCCATCTGCCGCTTGGGCACCGTCGATGGACCCTGGAGCTATAATGAGCATACCAAACATTTGCTGCATCGCGTCCACAAAAAGTGCATGGCACTGCATCCAACGACGCAGCAGCTCTCGCTGGGACAGTGCGATGTCAACGATGGCTACCAGAAATGGCTCTTCAAGGAGATACGTCCGCACTGGTAGGAGCGCCGGGGCACCTAAGGCGGCAGCCAGGCATTAAGGCAATATCTATCAAGGGTTTCAATGGGACGTGCATCATGACCGGCAGGGGTAATGTGGGTGGGCTCGAGGGGGGTATCCAACGGGGTTTGGCACCGTTTTAGACAAAGGGAATTTAGTGAAAATGAAAACAAATGGAATTGTTGTTGGTTTTATAACGTGCACACACACCCACACACGTACATCTATATATATTTATATATATACTTCTATATTTATATATATATATATATATCTTATGGGCCTGGGCAATCGGTTTACTTGGGCATTACTTATTTATGATTTCCCATGATATTGAGCAATACAAATAGATATTAATATTATCACTTTCTAAATTGAGTTGCATGCATGTAAATTGCGAACAATTCGAGCTGTGATAAGCAGTCCAGAGATTGGCATGACTCCAAATTTGCAATATTTAAGAAATACCCTCAAGATATTTACATGTGCAAAAGCTAAGCTATTTGTTTTTTGACATGAATAACCGAGCATAGATTGGTGCTTGCTTTAAGAAAAAACTAATTCGAATATTATGCAATTGACTGGAACTAAGTTAAATATGTAAATTAGCCCAACCGACTGCCCATAAGTTACCCAGTTATAAAAAAAATGTGTGTGTACGTTTATTTTTGTTGTGCACAACGCATGCGAGAGAGTGAGAGCGACGAGTTTGACGCACGAGCGAGATGGCGAGTAAAGGCGTGAGCGGTGACGCTGCGCTGCAAAAGAGGGAGAGCGAGTCGTGTGCAATATATATATATATATATATATCTGTTCGTTTGCAATAAAAGCCTTGCCAGGACATTATTATGAATATCAGCAAACTAATTTGTAATATTGTAGTACATATGCCTACTACAACTCCATGTAACTATGTGTATCTCTCTCTATATACATATATTTATTATATGCCTATGTTTATTAACTAAGTTTATTGCTGCCACATTCCAGAAACTGATATAAAGCTCAACTTTATGCAACTTTGCCGATTTGTAACTATATTTTGTATTTTATTTTTTTGTTTTTAATTTTTTCATGTGCATTTTGTTAATATTAATTATATACATAGTTTATAGACGTTTATTGAAATTGAATTGATTGGAATTCCCAAACACAACCAATTTGTAGCACGCGCATTTCTCGCAGTCGCTGTGTGTTTTTAAATGTAATTTTTATTATACATTCATATACATGCATATACACAATATATATAGGGTATATATATGCAATATATATATATATACATATTATTTACATTCAAGTGTAACTCTAGAGTTATAAGTCTGAATAATAAATAGTAATAAAAAACGTTTTCTAAACACTACTATAAAAAATAAGATCTGTCAAATAGAAATTTTGATGTATGTGAAGTATCTTACTAAACTGCTCGCTCGCAAGATACAAAACAAATCAGATAAATTTCATTAGTTTTACAAATTGTTTGGATATGGAAAATATTTTTTAACATACTTTAAAAGGGCTTCGTAAACATTCATTAGGTTCTTAAGAAAATAAGTTTAACTGGGGAACTGCAACACTTTCTGTTTTTTCCATCATGTTCGGGAAATGGCTAAAAAAGTGTTCATTGATGTATGCGTATGTATGGATGTATGATTTTATGTATGTAGGTATGTTAGAATGTATGATGCATGCATGTATGTAACCGGAGATGTATGTTTGCATCTATGTATATTGGCATAATCTCTCATACCAAACGTAAAATTTCTGTCAATTTCAAGAAAACGTATTTTTGAATGCTTTCTATGCGATTCTCATGAATGCAGTTGTGTGTATATACTAAATAGTATTTATATTTATTTTGTTAAATTCTTCTTGGCATGCATGTACTTAAGGTAGCATGATTGTGTACACGTATGTATTATCTTATAAAGTTTTGCACACTATGTGCAAACAGGTAGACAATCTTAACTGATATTATTGTTGAGGTTCGCATTTAATATATAGACGTGCGTGAAACTGATAAATATGCTACTTACAACATATTCTTCAATTTCAATCAGATCAGGAGCAATTGATTTATGGAAGCGTATGATTCAGCATTGATAAATTGATCAATAATAACAGGTGCTATCACTGACCATTGCCTAATCTTGTTTGCTAATTTGTGAGTGATGATGACACCACTTGACGTTGACCAATTCCAGGGAAGTCCTCAAGAGTTGAGCTGCCGCCTCGATAGGGTTCTGCGAAATGTCCCGAAATAGAATCAAGAATAATTAGATATGGCTACATTGGAATGCTATTGGAAGTTAGCCAATTGTGATGAAAGCCATCATTTTTTGAGAACGATATTGCGCCAATCCTATCACTAATTAGAAAGCTACCGTACTAGTGTCTGTCAAATTGTCAGGTGCTGTTTACGTTGTTTATGATTCTGGGCCGCTTATCAGCCGCCATTGCGAGCCGCCTAAGTCGAGAACAGCCTGGTACATGAGTCTGTTGCCCCATGATTAGATCGGTGCGGGGCGAAACGCAATATCACCAAATTGTTCAATTTAATTGACTGAAGTGGGCTGGGCCGGGAACATGCCTTATCAGCATTGGTTATGGTAAATACTTGTTAGAAAAGGGTCATATTCTATGGTCATGGGGTTTGTGCACAAACTTCCTCACTTGTTTTCATATTTATTTTCTGGCATGGGAGGTCATCTAGAAGGTCTCTCTCTCTCTCTCTCTGCCTCTCTTTCTCTATGTCTTTCTGTGGCTTAAGCGATAATCTAATGTTTTTCACTCTTGATTTGAAAAGTATTTGAAAGTTTTCAAAATTTGTACTAGGTTTTCTATTCTCTTATACAACACTGGCATTGTTCAAGTGTGTTCTTCAAATGATAATATATTGTCTAAAATTTATTTCTGGAAATGAAGGAGACTAGAAGGTCTCTCGGTCCCTCCCTCTCTCTCTCTCTCTCTTGTTGTTAGGTTGTTAGTTTTTAATTGAAAAGTATTTGAAAGTTCCCGTTTTTAACTTCAGTCTAGAAAGTTGTATAACACTGGCTTTGTTGGCGTATGTTCTTCAAATGTAAACGTACTTTTCGAAAGCAGTTCAAATGTGTATAGATTAAACTTTTATTATTGAAGCCATGCATCTTTAGTTTAGATTACTTGACAATTTCCTTTTCAGGTTAGGTCCGGTTAATACGGTTGACGGATTTATTCGTTAATATACATATATGGGCTTAGAATGGTTGATTCATTTTGTTCATTAAACAACTGGCTCAGTGTTCGGAGTTGCTTGTAAATTGGGAGAAAATGCCAATATATGATATTTGGTATTGTTTCATGTACGATCTTCTATTTGTTCTGGAAACCTCTAGATGAGTGCGTTGGAAGGGCATACAGAAACTGCTTCGTACGCAATGATGAATCACGTTCTTGTTGTTGGATTAAACGTTGTCAATGGAAATTGTCAATTGGCGTGATAAGGGCCGGAACCGGGCCTGTGGGCTTGGGGCGTGTGCTGCGAAATTAAACGAAACCAAAATCGACTGGCTTCCACTTAATTGGCTCTAGTATAAATAATAAAGAGTTTGCCACTGCAGAGCTCATTCAGTGATTACCATTCGCAACAGTTGGAACATATTTATATATATATATATATATACGTATATATATTTGCAAATCTTTCGCAAAATGTGCAAATTGAGTTTGTGTCTGTTGGTTGCCATCTTTGGCTGCCTGTTGGCCCAGAGTTTGGCGGGTGTGGCACGTGACGCCGATATACATCGCGATATTGTTGTGGTCAAGAATGTGCGCGATTTTGCTGCCCAGCATCCGGGCCTGAAGATGCAGCGGCTGGAGAAGCAGCCGGCGGTGCGTGCCAGCGGACAGTCCGTGCGTTATACGCTGGGCGCTCGTGTTTCCGGTAAGCGATAGTTGTCGTTGCGGCATGACAATAGTAACCGAAAGTATGCAACGAATTCTTAACACTCTTGTGCGCTGCCTACTTTCAGGCGACAGACTGGTTGCCCAGGGCGCCGACGTCTACAGCTATCCGGCACGCAAGGATGTCAGCCTGCAGCTGACATATCCGGAATCCGGCGCTGGCTCCATTGTCACCTTTGTGGAGCTCATTTGTACGCAGGACAACAGCGAGGGCAATGCCTATGTTGTTGCCGGCGGCATTGGCCAGCGCTTCATATCGATTGTGGTCGAGGCCAAGCAGACCGAGAACTTTGCCTACCAGGCCCAATATTTTGGCTCCGATTAAGTGAGAGCGCCGCTTTCTCCCGCAAATATTAACTGTCTTTATTGCATTCTTTTCTTTGGCTTACTATTTTTTTTTTGTTTTTTGTTTTTTTTTTTTTGATGTTTGATTGTACAAACTATCGCATATACACACATATATAAATGAATTACTATCTATAAATTGTAGCGGCTTTCTTTATAGAGGGGCCTTCATATATATCGCTCAGCAGACAATCGCTGGCAAATAAATCGAAAGTGCTCACGCGCTTCACACTTGAGAATAGGTATGCGATCTCGTAAATTAGCGCTAAGCTTTCAAATATGACGCCAACGCCTGGCGCCCCATCCGATCTGGGGATATTCCGAACGGTCTTCAAATAATCTAGACAACTGTGGGGTGCACGCGACTCGCAACGCTTGTGATTTGTGGTACCAAGATCAAGGAAAAATAGTTTGACTATGGTTAATTCGAACCCATTTTATATGAAGATAAGTAGTACAACGTATGACAGCTACTGTGGTCTATATAAAATGCCAAGCGGAGCGTTAAAATAATTTTGTAGCACAATATGGAATATTACCAGGTTTGTGCTTGGCTTATACAAATCATAATAATAACAAGTGAGAGGTTCTAGTCGAACCCTGAACCCTCTTTTTCCCACATTATATGCATATATATATTTTTTTATTTTAGAAGCTATTTACATATAGCTTAGTTTGGTGACTCTAGCCTTTATTATTTACCAAAATTACTTAAAAAACAGGATATCGATATCGATTTTTATCGATTGCTTGGAAACGGAGTATGTTATCGATTATCGGAAACAAACTCGATCTGCGCAGGCACTCGGAGCACCTACAGACGGACATGGCTAGATTGACTCGGCTATTGATGCTGATCAAGAATATATATACTTTATGGGATCGGAGATGCTTCCTTCTGCCTGTTACATACATTTGGATTTTGCACAAATACAATATACCCTTATACCCATTTTTAATGGGTTCAGGGTATAATAACCGTTACAATACAAAGAAATTTAATTAAAAAGCGTATTTACTGAAAATCTTAAAGCAAGTTTCTCTCTCTTGTTATTGATCTGCTGATCTTGATTAAATTGCTGTCTCGAGTTTTTACCATTTAACTTGGAAAGTGTTGCCATATCTTTACAGAAATTCTCGATGCTTATGTCCGGGCATTTCCCTATCGCACGAGTCAGCCTTCTATATGCTAGTTACTGATACTGAGCTCTGGCGATATATGTTCTATTTCGGTTCGCTGGCTTTTGCGCTCGGCTTAACAAGTTTGAAAGAAATGTGTCAATTTATCAGACCCGAAATGTTTGTTACTAACTTAATGATAACTCATGAGAGCGGGAGGGTGTCGATTGTGAGATACCCTGTAGTTACAGATTGAATGGCATTGATCTCTTGCGCTTAGACGAGCTTAAGTCCAGACCAGGTCATGCTAACCTCTGCGTATGCGTATAGGATACAAGAAATAATTGCCCGATATTTCTCGAAATAGACGTTCTTTCGATTGGTTGCTATTGTGCGCAATTATGTATATCAAGGTTAAGATTGCAAAACAAAATCCAACAACACTTCTCTTTAATCATCAAAAGCGACGATGATAACAATTCTCGACTGGGTTACAATCAAAACTTAATTTTCGACAGCATAAAAATAAAACCACATTCGTTTCATTAATAATTTTATGATTTCACTAGAAATCTTGTGCAAGTACTTATTATTGATTTTTAATTGAGTTTTACATCTCAATGTTAACAATAAAATTCACGTTTGGCTCAAACATTGTTTTCGTTCTGACGCAGTCGCAATGCGGCAGATAGCTCTTGACTCATCGATGTACATGAATATAAAAACTGTCTGGAATCGAAAGATAACTAAGCACTTGTATTTATTAAATATTTCAATGAGTTGTTTTTCCTTTTTCTTTATTTCGATTGTTGCCACGCAAAGAGGCATCATAAAACATTTGATTGTTGGTATACTTAATATATTGTATACAATAATTTCAATTGGCAAAAGTATAAAAAAAAAACAAAATTTCATATTATTTATGGCAAATGTTTATGTTTTAAAGTTTATTTTAAACAATTTATTTTTTAGTCTGAACTTAAGTGTTTGTTGTATATATACTTTGATTCAAAATCAATGTATTGGGTTCTTAAGCATTTTTTATACCCTGAACCCATTAAAAATGGGTATAAGGGTATATTGTATTTCTGCAAAATCCAAATATATGTAACAGGCAGAAGGAAGCATCTATCACAAAGTATATATATTCTTGATCAGCACCAATAGCCGAGTCGATCTAGCCATGTCCGTCCGTCCGTCTGTCCGTATGTATGAACGCAAGGATCTCAGAAACTATAAGAGCTGGAGACTTGTGCCTGCGCAGATCGAATTTGTTTCCGATAATCGATAATTTACTCTGTTTCCAAGCAATCGATAAAAATCGATATCGATATCCTGTTTTTTGAGCAATTTTGGTATATAATAAGAGCTAGAGTCTAAAACAGAAAATATATATGCATTTGATGTGGGAAGAAGAGGGTTCAGGGTATCCCCCAGTCGGAACGTCTTACTTGTCTTAAATTTCAGATGAATTTTTTTTATAACCTAAACCCATTGATTTGGTTTTGAGCTCAATTCCTAAATATCTAGGCTAAGTTTGCCTTAATTCAAATGCTTTCCATAAATCCAATTTGAATGCTGCCGGGTTGTATTTTATTGTATCCGATGCAATTAAAGAATTCTTGGTATTATTCCCTGAGTGTGGAAATCATATTGTGAAATTTCCGTCGAAATGTTGATTCATGCATGGCTATTTTTATCATTTGTATGATGCACTTTGACTGGTCCGCATATTTATTGAAGGCACTGTGCGGCTTTTTGTATGACAATTGGGCATTATATTTGCTGTCGCAATACGATAAATATGTACATGCACTACTATATGGTTAATGTTTTTGTTGATTTTTGTCGCCGATAAGGAAATCAGAGTCCAGCTACTTGCGCACAATGAATGGGCAAACAATTTGAAGTGGCCAACACGAAGACGGAAGTAAAAGCCAGGTCTCAAGTAATATAACCAATAACTAACAATATTCTAATATGGGGCTCAAGCCAGTATCTAGCTATCACATGATGACCGGGTGAACCATGATCACAATTTTGATTGTTGTTGTTGTCATTGTTGCTGTGGCCACGCGCTGCAAATCGATCGATTGGTAATTGGTGGAGTATATTAATTGCTTGAATCCGTTTGGTGTTAGTGCATGTCTAAAATTATTGGCTCTCAAGTGGCCTATTTATAGACACTGAGCGAATGATTGCCAATTAGGAGGCCCCAAAAGAAAATGAAAAAAAAAAAAAACAAAAAACAATATAAAAGCCAAAACCATGGCCAATACTAGTAGTCTATGCCGGCTTATCGTTCAGTCGTCGAGCTGCCTTATCTAACGCTGACCGTCGATAAGAGCGGGCGGTATAAAAGCCAATGCACAAAACAGTCGCCAATTAGATTGCACAGAGCGCGGAAGCCACAAACCCAAATTCCATCTAAGCCAAAATTCGTTTCTTTTCATTTAATTGTTTGTTATATTATTTGTGATTTTTTTTTTTCGCGTGTTTTTTAATTGCGCCCAAAAATGCCGCAAGTGATTCTCTCGTTACTTTTGCTGTGCGCTTGCGCACTCGCTGCGCCCACGCAGCACCAGCACCAGCACCAGCAGCAGCAACAGCAGCAGCAGCAGTCGCCGTCGTCGTCGGCGTCGCCGTCGCAGCGCGCCACCGATCTCGTCTATACGCCGATCACGTCTGTAACGGATGCTACTCGCTACACGTCAAAAAATCCAGGAGTGGAACTGCTCGCCCTAAACAAGGTGAAGCATGCCAAGGGCAATATTGTGTTCAGTGCCGGCGAGCGAATAACGGGTAAGCCAAATTGTCATCTCTAACTAAATATGAATAGCTGGCTAACGGGACAACTCGTTCTCGTTCTCGTTCTGGTTCTCGCTCTCGTTCTCGCTCTCGTTCTCGTTCACGTACGCGTCGCCAGGCGATAAGCTGTTGGTCAATAGCTATGATGACGAGAGCTTCACCACCACCGTGGATATTGAGGTTGAGATGACATATTCATCGAGCAGCGGCACTGGCGTTACCTTGACCAGCATTGAGATCTATGTGGACACATCGGCGGATGATGCTGATGCCTATTTTATTAATGGCGGCATTGGCAAGAGCAAGGCATCCATATTGCTGGCCTGCAATCAGACGCGCACATTCTCGTATGAGGCCTTCTTCTATGGTTACTAGACTAAAGAGACCTAATTTGAGAGCAAATAAAACAACAGCATCTTCAACTTGGAACTGAACTGTGATCGCCATCGCTCAACGCTAACGCCATATCCATCCCATTCCTTCTCTCAGAAAGACAAGTATTATTATAGAGCTAACTTTTAATTTAATAGAAAGAAAAAAAAAAAAAACACAAAACTAAAATGAGAAACAAAAAACAATGAAAACATGACAAAAAAAAAATAACAAAAAACAAAACAAAAATTGTCTAAAGTTAAACTCACCAAAAATTGTGCAACTTATTCGATATTTATTTCTTTGGTTCCCTTATCAGACAGTTCAGTTTTTATTATTATTATTTCTTTTTTCAATACTTTGTCTATTTGTGGGGCTCTACGGGCATAAAAATGGCACTGGCTTATCGTACACACACACACACACACACACACACACACACACACACACACACACACACACACACATCCCTATATAAATACATTTTGCGAACTGACGCGCGGGTTTTTCCAATGCAGCTCCATTTAATTGAAATAGTCATTCTCTGCTTCTCCCTATATCATATGATCTAATAGATAAGGTGATGCAGCGCGTGGCACGTGTCGTTCCTCATGTGGCGCTAACAATTGATTGATTGATTGATCAAAAGAGCCAATTGCATTTCTGTTTGGGTAAAGCCCCCAAGAAGCTCATAACAATCTAAATATACATATGTATATTATATTATAGCAGAGACAGAGCCCGTAGTTTTTATGGTTTGCCAAAGAGCTTTCGAAACTAAACTCTGAAATTTACATATTGCTTTTGTTATCGACTTGAGTAGTCCGAATTTGCTTAATACCAAGAACTTAGTTAATACTCGATGGCTTATCGTTAAATATATGTTTATACCGTACGAATATTTTAGGCCAGCTTATCAGCTTAACTGGTGAGCTTAACTTGTGAGCTCAACTTTAATGAGTGCAAGCTCGTGAGCGAAATGTCAACTCTGCATGCTTTTTACTTAATGGTCGCATGCTCAGCTCTCGCCCTGTGCTAAGTTAGTCATAATCGGGCTGGGCCTTGCATATTCAGTTGATGGTTGGAACCAGCACAATGACATTTAAAAAAAATATCGGATGGATTCTTTCGTTCGCATTCTTCGCAGCCCATGTGGTGCTTATGATATTGGCTGGCTGCGGAGCACTTAAGTATTCCAGTCAAACACAAATGATTGAACTGTCAGGTGGGTTCAATGTCTCGGTGGATAATGTACATATATTTGTTTGTCTCTAATGCATCAGTCGTGGCATTGGGCATTGCACGATCGTCAGATTATGTTATTGCACAGATGCATTTTTGTAACCCAAATATGTAACAAGTACAAGACTTTTGACTCAGCGGCCAGAGTATCGAACAGTCGGCTACAACTGACTCATATATACATTGTTATCTTACTGAGCAGTGGGTGAACGGTGCCCGGAAAGGAATGGATACCCTGCTAGCACTTGCCAATTAGCCGAAAGCTGTACCACATTGGTTGCCTACAAGAGTCTGGAGCGTTCTGTGACAGTTTGTGGCTTCATTTCACAATCTGGCCAGGAGCTGCTCTGCTGTCCTGATCGTGCCGAAGCCATCTCACGAACACTAACACCAACAGCAACACCGTGAGTAGCTGCTCGATGCATGTGTTTCTTGACTAACATCTCACCTTAGGGAAACAATTCCAGTCCAAATGTCAACACATCTGGCCTCCCTCGGCTATTATAAGGCGGATACCCTAGACGAAATTGAGTATCGCTGCACGGCGATTATCCTGTCGCCAAACCAATTGCTGGCGACAAGCAAATGCGTGGGCAACAAAATATATGAGAAGCCCAACAGAGTCCTAGTGGGTGTTACAGACCCAAGAAAATTCTTTGATCCGGAGTTAGAGTTTGAACTTACGGTACTTTCAGTTTCTCTTTTTATCACTGCCTGTGCCTTGTATCAGCTAGATATCCGCAAAAAGGATATAAGGGTTTCCATAAGGTATAAATATTTTGGGTGTGCTGCAACAGACGAGTCGATCGGTTCGTCCTCCCTAAATCGATACGCCCCTCCTCTAACTGCTTTTAGCTGTACTTTCAACAGGGTATTGGGCAGTCGTTCAATTGGGATAAGTTTTGTTTACATGAACGTAATGTATATTTTACATTAGCAAGGATCGATACCTGTCACCCATTTCATTGTTCTGAAGTTTTTCAATATTGGTTTTCCCGTAGAATGAAGTTTGAATTTTGGGTACAGGCACAGAGTATCCCATAGTTTGCCACTTTCTGGAGCACTGGCGCACATTCAGTGAATTCAAAACATCCGAAACGTTGATAAAAGTGGCTTTAATCCCATTACAGACAAAAGTCCAGTATAAGGACGATCTGGCACTGTTCACGCTGTCCACCTCGATTGATGTGAGCAAAACAGAAATGGCAAATGTAAGCTTGGCCCTGCTTTGTAATGAGACCGAGCTGGAGGGAGTTCCGAAGCTATACGCCGTAGGCTTTGCTCAGGATAATGGTTGGCATAGCTGAAGCTCTAGGTTCTCAATTAAATCCACAATCCTCCCTTTGTCGACAGGCTCCAACTGTGGCCTGTTCAAGACGCGCCTTGAGAGATTCAATGACTGCACCAAAGTGGAACTCAAGCGTCAGGTGTCGGCCATCGATAAGTCCAGGAACCTGTGCTTGGTACCCCAGCGGAATGCTTCCCATGCCGGCGTGAGCGATGAATGCACCAAATGCCTGACGGCCAGCACCAGTGTGCTCCATGTGGAGCGAGCGGACGGCAGTTTCTGTGTGGCAGGCATTGCCACGCCCACCACCAACGATTGCATTGTGAACAGCGGTCCGATTTATTACACCAGCATCGTAAACAGGGCCGGCGAAGAAGTACTGCCCGAAAACCAGACGGGAATTGCAAACGCCCGCTATCGGACAAGTCAAAATTAAACGGAATTTCTTTAAGAAATTTCCCATTAAAAAAATATATGGTATATAATACAACAAATAAACAATCATTGTTAATCGCAATATATATATATATATATATATATATATATATATATATATATATGATCCACTTTGGAAATTTCGCTTACATTTTTATTTTTTTTTACTAATCTCAAAATTATCTGAATCAGAGTGAGTGAGGGATACAGTGAGAGTGAGAGAGAGAGAGGAGAGAGAAAGGGAGGAGAGAGAAAGAGAGAGAGGAGTGAGAGGCAGAGCGGAGAGAGAGTGAGCGCTAGAAATGCCAGATTTTACGATCAATTGCATACAGAAAACAAGATTACGAATTTTCGTAATTTTATTTTATTTTAAATGTTTAAATTTAATTTTAAATATTTGCCATTTTATTTTAAATAAATAAATATAAGTCGAAAATAATATTTTCTAAAATTTCGATATGTAAAAATTAAATAATAAAAAAAAGAGCTGTATTCGCGTTCGTATGATAAGGAATATATATATATATACATATATATAAATATATGTATATTTTATTTGTATTTATTTAAAACACAGATCAGTCGGTGGCTTTAGTTTAGTTTAGCGTGATCACTTTTACTGTAAGCATAATGTATATTGCCGGTACATCCCAGATGTCGACCTTTATATGGCTGCTCGTGATAATTTGCGTGGCTGGCAGTGTGGGCTGGCCAATCAGACAGGGTGAGACTGGGTATATTGGTTCTTCAGTGCGTTTGTTTCTAAACTCAATTATGTAAAAACAGAAGGCGATCCATGCACCTGGACTATAAATTATCCCAAGAGCCATTGCAGGCTGGCCAAAAACTGTCAAACACTGCCCGTGTACATCGATGAAAACTTTTTGAAATTAACTGATATACCCAGCTGCGGCTTCCTCGACGCTAGCCACTCGGAGATGTTTTGCTGTCCCGATGAGATGCCTGGCCCAAAAGTCTCAAGCCTTACATTGGCAGCGCCCACGTATGTCACTTCCCCAACCATTTTAAAGAGATGCCTCAATCCATCATTCTCTTCCATTTTGCAGATTCCATAATAGCTTAAATCATTTGGCCTCACTCGGCTATTATAAGGCGGATACCCTAGACGAAATTGAGTATCGCTGCACGGCGATTATCCTGTCGCCAAACCAATTGCTGGCGACAAGCAAATGCGTGGGCAACAAAATATATGAGAAGCCCAACAGAGTCCTAGTGGGTGTTACTGACCCAAGAAAATTCTTTGATCCGGAGTTAGAGTTTGAACTTACGGTACTTTCAGTTTCTCTTTTTATCACATTCTGTGCCTTGTATCAGCTAGAAATGCGCTTAAAGGATATACGAGTTTTTGTACAGTTCAAATATTCTGGGCGTGCTTCAACAGACAAATCGATCGGCTCATGCCCGTTCCAACTCAGACAGAAGAGATTAGGAAATGTCGACTATAGGTTATTGTTTATCAACGTAGATTAAGTTAATGTCAAGCTATCGATAATTATCGATTTGTTTTTTACGCGCATCTTTCACTTTTTTAATCTCGAAGGAAGTTTTTCTTATGGTCATTTCGCACCCTTTAAATCGATAAACCCCCCCCCCCCCCCGCCCCTTTACCTGTTTTTAGCTGTTATTTCTTTTGCCTGATACTACATCGCTTTTATACCCTGTTTTTTTTGAAGGGCCTTAGAAAGGGTATTTTGTGCACTTTAAGGGCACTAGAGCATGCAAAACTTTGACAAAAGTGTATTTAATCCCATTACAGACAAAAGTCCAGTATAAGAACGATCTGGCACTGTTCACGCTGTCCACCTCGATTGATGTGAGCAAAACAGAAATGGCAAATGTAAGCTTGGCCCTGCTTTGTAATGAGACCGAGCTGGAGGGAGTTCCAAAGCTATACGCCGTAGGCTTTGCTCAAAATAATGGTTGGCATTGATGCTATGCATCTGGAGCTTTAGGTTCTCAATTTAATCTACAATCCTTTGTTGACAGGCTCTAACTGCGGCCTGTTCAAGACGCGCCTTGAGAGATTCAACGACTGCACCAATAAAAATCCAGGAACCATCGATAAGTCCAGGAACCTGTGCTTGGTACCCCAGCGGAATGCTTCCCATGCCGGCGTGAGCGATGACTGCACCAAATGCCTGACGGCCAGCACCAGTGTGCTCCATGTGGAGCGAGCGGACGGCAGTTTCTGTGTGGCAGGCATTGCCACGCCCACCACCAACGATTGCATTGTGAACAGCGGTCCGATTTATTACACCAGCATCGTGAGCAGAGATGTTGGGAATTTTCCCATCACAGCTAATAATGGCAGCTGCCGGAATTTATGTCCTTCGTTCAGGAAAAGGGGTGTCAATACAAACTAAAGTTTTTTCATTTTAAGATTTTATACGATAATACCATATTCAACAATTTCTATATGAATAACTATATTTATTTTATATTGTACGTAAATTCAAAATCCAATTTAAGTAGAGAAATAACGTCAAAAATTGACTATGATAAATATATATATTCGCGATCAGTAGCAAGAGCGGAGTCGATATAACCTTTTCTCAGTCTGTTCCAGCCAGCATACACGACTGAACCGGCCTGATCGTAACATTATTAGACGTATCACATATTCTATATACATTGTCACAGCATTCAGATTGCTTAGAGATATGTTTCAGTTCATTTTAAGTCTTTCCCTTGATAATATCCAAAATTCCTGAACGAAATGAATGTGCCCAATCCAAACACAACAGCAGCTGCGGAATCCCTAAATGCGGACTTCTTTTATGGCTGGGATTTGCTATTTAAGACTGTGGAGAGTCGGATTGGCAAGAAGGCGGATGTCTTAATGGTTCTCGCCCATTTTCTGCTGACCAAGCATTGTAATTTTCGTTGCGTGGGCATTGGGGATGATAAGAGCCTGCCGGTGGATGAGATTGGGAGCGAACTGCTGCCGGATCAGTGGAATGGGGATAGTTCCAAGTATTCGCTGAGATATGTGCACAATAAGGTGCTCTATTTGCTGCTGGCCCATATAACTGAGGATGCATTGATTGTCAATTTGCTGGATACGAACACCAAGAATGTGTCCAATCTGTGCGTTTCCCCGGACTCCCTTGTGGAAGATCTGAGGGGTAATATTGCAAAAACTATGCCAACGGCTGGCGCCATTGTTGATCGCTTCCGCCGAGAGCTGTGCGATCCGGTATTTGCGGCGAATGCCCGGGAAATTACCGTACCGCAACGGACCAGCCAGACGCCCGCGCAGACCATAAATCCTCTGGCCGATGAGTCCCGACGTCCGCCCGCATATATGCCGCACAGTTTCGAACCAAATCCATACAACTTGCCCGATGTTGGACGCAGCGATCTGGATCCACTCGCCGGCGGTATCGGTAATCTGTTCCCTTTTCCACGCAATCCAGGCCCTCCTCGTCCAAACATACCCGGCCAGGGTGCTCCAAATCCCGATCATGCACAGCCGCCAGACTGGAATCCCGATCATTATATGTGACAGCGGGTCAGAGCACAGCCGGGACCATCTTTCGGGAATCACTTACAAAATCAATAGTTTAATTGGATAATATCGCATAATAAAAATTAATTACTTTAGAAACGGGACAGAGGCGGGCAATACCTGAGCTAAATCAAATTGCGTAAAAGCGATTAATCATTTGGTCTGATGGAACAAATACTTGACATAATTATCTAACTAGGTTAGGGGTGCGATTTTGATTATGAAATCGGGCACGTTTAAAAATGTTTTGATGAATAGATTGTAGATAATACAACGTCGGACCAGTCCAGAGGGGGAGAGAGAGTCGTCTCGGTTCTGGGCTCAAATCAACTGACTGCTCTGAGGTTTAGTTCGTGAACAAGCTTTTCCACATCAAATGTTCACATGTTATCATAATCAAAAAGAAATGAGTCAGTTTAATTTTACTGAAAATAACGCAGGGCTAAATTTGATCTCATCCCAAATTTGACTTCTATCCAAAATGGATCTATACATATAATCATAACTATGCAATAATGGGGTGTCTCGGTTCGGGCTTCTGTTATTGGGAATGGAAAGATATAGGGTTCGGTTCTAAGAAAGACAAAAAAAAAAATAGGATTTTGGATCGGAAGCGGCTCAAAACTGGTAATATGCTCTTGCAATTATTAAGTAATTTTGATTGGCTATTAATAATAATATTAATTATGGTAATAATTATTATTAGAGATGATTAATCTCAACTCTCAAAAATGAGCAATTTGTGCTTAACTTATCGTTCCCCTAACTAGCCTAACTCCCACGGCCTGATTCACACCTGGCTCGGTAACAAAACAAATGATTGTTAAATGTTTCTCTTCTCTCCGAAGAGCTAGCGCTCAGACACTTCCTCACTCCGATGCTGTGCTGCTGCTCTGCTCTGCTCCGCTGCCGGTGCCGGCGTCGGCGTCGGCGTTGGCGTCGGCTGCTCCCAACGACGCTTGGCCAGTGGAAGAGCGACAGTTGAGCGCGAGCGACGCGCCTGTCCAGTTCGTAGTCGGATCGGCCATGCTACGTGTTGTCGTCGTGTTATCTGCGCTGATTTGGCTCTGTTTAAGCAGCTGCTGCTGCGGCTATTACAGCCTCCAGGGTGCGTACTCTCAATCCCAATCAAGGTCCCGTCCCCCCCTTATGTGTCTGTGCTTTGATATTGCAGTGGCTGATTCCTGTCCTACACGTGGATATCTAAGCAGCTGCCAGCCAGCCGACCAGTGCTCGACGCTGGCACAGTTCATCGAAAGTGGCCGGCTGTCGGCCGATGCGGTGCTCAACTGTGGCTATACCACGACAGGGGAGAAGATATGCTGTCCCCGCGAAGAAGGCAACAGCACGAATCTGCGCTTCTCATCCAGCGACAGCAGAGCCAACGATACCCAAGCCACGACGCCGTCCTGGCTGAACATATTTAGGACCGATCGAGAGTATTTAGCGTCCTTGGTGACCACGCCAGCGCCAGTTAGCTCGTCCAGCATCGTATTTCCGAACAGAGTCACAGAGACGGGCGCCGCCTGCCAGACGCCGCTCTACAAGGGCATATGTGAGGCAGTTTCCGATTGCCAGAGCCTGGTGCCGCTGCTGCAACAGCGTCGGCTGCGCGATGAGGATGTGCAAACTTGTCGTGACGGCACCGTCGAGGAGATCATCTGCTGTCCCACCAATCTGCCGCTGCACCCGATTGGCCATGTGGGCGCCGAAACGCGTTTGGGCAAAGCTGCTGACGATGATGCGGCGGCCATAGCCAAGGCCGTGGAGCTGTTGCCGCATTACACGCATCTGGCTGCGCTGGCGTATCCGAATGCCGCCTTCGATGGACATGTGCATCGCTGCACGGCGCTGGCTCTGACGCCACAGCTGCTGCTAAGCTCTGCCGGCTGTGGGCATGCCAGTCATGGGGTCTTTGGTGTGGCGGATATGCGCGATGTGGACGAGGAGGAGGACTATCTGGTTGATATTACAGTAAGTAGCCCCTCTCCCCTCTCGCTCTCTCTCTCTCTCTCTCTCCCTCTCTCTCTCTGTCTCTCTCGCTGACTCTTCCCTCTCGCTCTTGCTCATGTGTTGTTCCTGTGCTTTGGCAGGGCGTGGATATGTATCGTCAGGACTTGGCGCTGCTGCGCTTGGCCCAGTCAATGCCAGTGGATCAGCCGAAGGCTTCGCATGTCAGTCTGGCGCCCATTTGCAGCCAGTTCGAACTGACGCGCCTTCAGGTCAGCGGACAGCTACTGGCCAGCGCGTGGGGCATGGGCAATGGTAAGGCTTGACCTTCACTCCACTAGCTTCAATTCTAGATAACTTCATCTTCTTCTTGTGCTACTTCCACTGCTGCTCCTGCTCCTCCTTTAGGCAGCGATTGTCCGCTCTATGAGCTGCCCATGCGCCTGCTGAACTCGGACGCGTGCAGGGACATTGGCAAATTGTCTGCGGTTCAGGATTTGCCGTCGTCGCATCTGTGCCTGGCGCCACGTGATGTCGCCGCGCTGAGCGCCAGCAATGTCAATTCATGTGCTCCGTGTCCGGCTGTTGTTGGCAGCGTGCTCCATTTGCGACGTCCCAGCGGCAGCCGTTGTGTGCTGGCCATTGCCACGCCCACCGGCGACAAATGCAATGCAGAGGCAATGTATTTTACGAGTCTGCTGGATACACGGCTCGTGTACTTTGTCGAGCAGCAGCAACAACAATACCAACAACAACAACAGCAGCAGCAAAGGCAGCAAAGGATGCCAAAATTAATTCGATTTTAACGTGTTTCCACTGCAGCGCAGCCAGAAGCTGCTTTCCAAATGTGATTAGTTTATTTGTTAATGTACACGTGTATATATACGTATACATACTTTATATTATTATGTTATATATAATATTATTATATATATTTTATATCATATTAAGTCTAAGAAAACGTACATTTTATATACGTATATAGCTTGTACTTGTAGCATATTCAGATGTAGACACTTATAAATTATATATAAACTGGTTTTCCAGTGCATTGCTAGTTCGAGAAATAACAATAATTGCAGGCCCCTCTAACTATTGATGAATTCTCTTCTTTTTTTTTTTTTCAAAACAAAAAAGAAAAAATATGTTAGAAAATACTAAAAACAAAAACTTATGTTATTTTCAGAATTGGAGAAATTCTCATGGAATGTTGATTCGTTTTGATTTTAAAAATTTCAATATAGTATAGATTCCTTTATTTTGATTTTTTTAACAAAACATGTGTAGCTTGAGATTTTAAGCTTGGAACATAAGCTCGTGTATCAGGGCCAGTGTTAGGATTATATGGCCAAAAAGGAATCTCATCCACAGTCTAGCATAATCGAGTTTGGAATGCGGACAGCTGATGAGTTTCTCTCTAGAGAACTATCAAAATGTCGAGCCTTGCATTAGCAGCAATAAGTTGCTAAACAGTGGGTAAACAACGTTTGATATATATGCATATATATTTTATTTTTTTTCGATTACGTTAAAACAAATATAAATTTCATCAATTGCGAATTGTGGCCAAAATATTATGAGCCGAGACTTTGGGCAAAAACCCACAATAAACTATTTGATTCAATTCCATGCCGCTCTCTGAATTCGACTCAGACACTCGTCGTGTATTTCCATTGAATCACAATTTTTTTTATTTTTATTTTAGCTGCTGTTTACTTAGGAGCTTATGACCAGCGGCTCGTGAATACCTGTAGCTGCGCTCAGTTGCGTATTTTGATTCTGTGAAATGCTTAAAGCTAAAACCGGTTCGGCACACAGCACGGTCAAGACACAAGAGGAACAACAACAATGAGAACAACAAGAGTGCTCGAGTCGGGAGTGCCCGACTGAAGATTGCCCCTGTTTCAATTTTTTGGGCCACGGAAGAGGTATCCCAAATGTGATCTTGATCTGCTTATACAATTCGTGTAAATACGTACCAAATTTGATGTACTTAGCTTTTCAACTTCTTAAGCTTTGCCAGTAATATAATGTCTTGAGATCGATATTTATCGATATTTTAGAAATGGCAAGTATAGGTATATTCTTGATCTGTGCCTAACATCCGAGTATCTACATACCAATTTTAATGAACATAGCTCTTACATTTCTCGAGCTATGCCCAAGCTAGGCCAAGTCTTCAAATCGATACTTATCGATATTTTGAAAATAATGAAAGATATCGTGAAAAATGATCATTTCGAATTTAAAATCTCTTCCTCTTATGTCTAGATCAACTAAGCTCTTCGTGTTCGATAATCAGAAAAACCGCATTCCCTCTGTTACATGCGCTAGCACCCAGTTGGTATACCCTCTTGAGCCATTTTGAGCGTGCTCAGGGTATATTAACAACCGCTTGGCCACGGTCTCAGCTCTCTGGCTATGGCCACCGCTCCAGCTATGTGCGTTGTAGGGTTCTAATCTCAGCTTCAGTTGGCAAAGCGACGCGTTGCTGTGAGGTAGCCCGTAGCCCCAGCCCCAGTCCCACGAATCGGTGCCCTATACACACACACACACACACGCACACACACACACACACACACACACACCGATAAGAGCCGTACTCTGCGTTTCCGTACAGCGCCTGGCACCGGTTTAAATTATTTTTTGCTTTTTATTTTAGTTCCAGTTTGATTTTATTTTATTTATTATTTTTTTTTTTTAATTTTTTGTTTGCCTTGTGCTGTTTAAATTAAAGTGTTGCAAAAATAAGAAAAAATAACGACAGTATATTTAAAAATACATTACAAAAATCACGACAGCAACAACAACAAGAAAAAAAATCGAGTGCAGTTGGTTTATTTGTTTGATTTGTTGTTATCAAAACAAAAGGCTTAAAACTTGCGCGTGTCAAAGGTTCGTCTGATAATAAACAACAACAATAACAACAGTAACAACAACAACAATAATAATAATAACAATAAAAGTAGTTATCAAAATATTATGAAAACACGAGAAATGTTGTGCATTGCAGTGATATAGTCTGGCATGGTTTTTATTCATGTTAATTACACGTTGGCCCACAATAACATGCATTTAACAAGTACAGTGATGCCTGACTATAAATGCATGCGGCACATTTTCAACAATATTCAGTCAAAACCAAGTTAATACAGTTGTTAAATTTTTCTCTAGCTAACTATAAGCACAATCCATGAGAGATCACCTCAAGTGCAGTCTGCCACAGCGCCCTTTGGTCTGACATCGTAAAAGCGTAGTAAAATTTGAATATATGTATATGCACCTGAATTGGTGCATACAAAGAATATACCCTATACCAATATGAGCCTGTCCAGAACTTTTAATTAGATATATAAAAAACAAACAATATACCTTATGACAATCTGAGCAAGTCCAGAAAGGAAAGTTGGGATATATTTGTAAAGCTGAATATAAGCAAATATTTCAGTCCAGAACTTAAAATGAACCCTGAACCAAACCGACCTTGCCTTAGTTTATTTGAGTATCTATATTAAATAAATCAAGGCCCAGTCGGTTCGGTTCACGGTTCATGGTGTACATGAATCTAGGTTCGGGTTTGAACCTTGGCTCGCAACATATTTCACATTTCTCAATTGAGAACTCTATATATTGTATTTGAATAATAATAAATATAATTAATATTAATATTAATGTTATTTTTTCCATTTTCAAATATTTTTGTTAAAATTGATAAGAGAATATTTTCGTAATCAATTTTTCAAATTAAATTATAATAATACACATTATGATATACAATGTTTCATATTATTTGCGTTTATTCAAATGCAAATAAAATACTATATAATGTCATATAAAGTAAATAATAATCTGCTGCGGCTGTTCTTAAGTCAGCTAATCCTGGATAAGGTTCGCTTTTTTGGCAAATCAAATATTGGTGTACCGTTTTCGTTTCAATAGAACTCACGTTTATGCCATGAAATTATTGAATTACTTCATTTTAATATTTTGTAACGATTATTTCATCACACTTCTCAATTTTCTTGGCGGCACCATCAGTTATGAAATTTGAAAGATAGCTGAGAACACAAAAAAATGCCAGTTTTTATAGCGGGAGCTCAAGAAACCACACTGATATGAAAGATAATTTGTTAATTTGCTGAGGCTTGTACTACAAATGTAGCACATTTAGGTATATCTGTGCGGCCAAACGATTGTTAGATAAACCATTGAACAATGTGGTACAAATTCGCAGATGTTATTGGGAAACAGGCTGGAAAGTTTTTGCTTTGCCTTTACCAGAAATATGCAGGTTACCTTATGGAGACGACCAGCTATAGGGTTCAATGAGCTGGAGTCGCCCAGAAACCTGTTGATCGGAAACTATAGTGAAAGGTCTAAAAAAGTACCATGAATCACAGCCATACGTTAATATTTAGCGGACTATCTCATGTGGCGCTCAGCTGATTTGGGAAATTTCCACGGGGCTATCAAAAATAGTAAACAAATAGAATGTGTGTTAGGGCTTTATGCTGGGCTCCAATCGGGTTTTCCAGTTGCCATTGATCTGATGATGGGACTTACGTATGCCAGAATTCAATTGATATATAGGTCAATCACAGGTTCATTATTATCAGCAGACTTGCGCTCCAAATGAAATACACAACAAAGAAGAAATCTCTTTTGAGTGTCATATAAAATAAATCATTCGAAATACCTCAAGAGCCACTCGATTCGAAAACTGAGCACAAACAGTCACTTATATTCTGTACGATTTTTTCTGCTATCTGTGAGACAAGTACTATTCAAAAGTAATTAGCCTACTTTGCTCAATAAAAAATAAAACTAATATTTCTATTTGTGAACATGTGTGTTGATAACAAATTTGCTGTAATTAGCTGTTGGAAATACGAATTTAAAAAACATAATTTGCATTTAATGAGATTTTAAATATCAAGCCTAATTAATTAAACTAAAAGTTATTTTTCATTTAAAATCGAACTTAGTGTATTTTGACATTTTAATCTGGACCGGCTTAAGCCCCTGGAAGAGACTCAAACGAGAAAATAAATGTGTTTAAGCTTTTTCAAAATAATTTTATTTGTTATCTCTGCCGCTCTATGCGATTCTCATGGTCACCGTACTTTGTTAATTTAAGAATTCTTAGTGCATACTTTACACGAAGTATATTTTTTTACATATTTGATTATCCAAATCTACAGTTCATCTTTAAAAAGCTGATATTAATTAAAATAAAACTCATCTAAATACTTAAAATATTGTAACTAATAGAAATGTATATATAAAAGTCATCGATATTCAATGTGTTGTAAGACCCACGGACAGCCAGCTATAAACATGTTTAGCCTTCCTCAGGCCTTTCATAATTAACATTCTCTGGCGTTGTTACTCTTCCCCTGTCACTATTTTTCCGTTCCTTTTTTAGCCTGTTTCTTGCTTACGCTCACCTGCCTTATAATCGCCTTTCTATGTGATTTTCATAGAACCAAGTTGGTTAAAGCCGTTTCTTTTCCTATTGACTATGAAAATAAATAAAATATTAATAATATTGACTTTATTGACGAAAACTTTATTGCAGAACCTGTCTCGCAGTGTGGATACCGCTGGCCTGGTCCAGTAAAATGAGTGCCCGTCGCCGTGGCTTAAGCTCCAGTCTCGCCTCCTGCCACCTGCTGCTATGTGGCTTAATTCTGTGCGCGGTGTCACATTTGGAGGCACGCGAAGGTCTGTATTTGGCTGGGTTCGTTTTCTTTTGGGTATTCGCATTGACCATATCCTTGTTGCAGAGGGCGATGCATGTATGGTGAAAGAGAATCTGCCGGGAGTTTGTCAGACCTCATCCAAGTGCGAGCCGCGAATTGACAAATATATCAAAACGGGCAAGTTGACCGTTGACAAGGTGCCCAGCTGCGGCCTGGGTCCGTACGAGGAGATTGTCTGCTGTCCGACTATCGATTGCTGCGAGGATGATAAGGGGTAAGAGTGAATGGACAATTTGAAAAGGGAGTCCGTTTTGTTGCTTTTGTTATTGTGCCCAACCCCAAGCTATGTGCCAATTGTTGTTGTTGTTGTCGCTGCATGCTCCATGCCGTTGGCTAGTCAAGAAACTGGCGTCTAACATAATTCATCTGATTTACGTGCAGCCCAAGCCAGGTCCCAGACATCACAACCACAACTAGCTCCACAACAACTACCACAAGAGCTCCGCTGACCACGGCGAGAGCATCGAAATCGAAACTGGATGAGGATTCGGCCTATTTTGACTTTCAGCAGCTGATCAATAACAAGCCAAATACACAGCCACAGCCACAGCCTGCGAATGGATTTCCATCGCAAACTCCATTCCAGACGCAGCTCAAGCCCCTAAACCCATTGGAGCCCAATGTGCCAGTGATAACCCATGAAGCCGTGCGAGAGCAGCCAAGATTCCAACCCAATCAACGGCCCGCTGTGCCGGAGGGCAGGGGTCAGTTTCAGGATGTGGGACCCTGGGGTCAGGCGCCTGCCATGGACAGGGAGCCAAAGATCATTAACAGACCGCTATCGTGGAGGCCACAGCAGAGACCAGGCCGAAGACCAGTCCCAGTCCGAAACCCATTACCAGACTCGCTTCGCTTGCCAGCTGATCAGTCACAGGATCTAATACAGCTGGTCAATCAGCGGCTACGTCAGCAGGGCATGAACATTGTGCCCGCCACTCAAGTGGTCACATTTGAGTTGCCCAGGGAGCCGCTGACGATGACGACAACGACCACGACGACCACCGCGCGTCCAGCTGTTGTAACAGTCCCCAATGTGGATTTAGATCCCTGGGCACCATTCCGCTTCCGGGAAAGACCCCTCGATGAGGTCGAGACGAATGAGCTGGGCAACGGCATTGCTGCACCATTTGGGTTTGTCACAGCTGAAGCATTCACATCAATTGGCCCTAGCCTCCATCATGCGTAGCCATCAAAGAACAGCCACCCAAACTAATCTCTTACCATTTGTCCATTTCCAGGCCGGAGACCACGACGATACGAACTATTCAAGCCACGCCCACCACTCGAGTAGATGTATCCGAGCAGGAGCGACCAGCTGTGCGAGGTGAGTAAGTAGGATGATTTACCGACTGACTAACCGATTGACTAACTGACTGACTGACCGACTGACTGACTGACTGACGGACTGACTGACTAATCTGACGGAATCTTGTCTGCACGGTTAGATGGGGTTTTATTTCATTTGCAACTGTGGAAAATTGTTGGAAAATATTTGGTTAAAACCTTTTGGTCGATACTTTTAATACTCGAACTATTAAATCGTATACCTGAACTAGGAAAGATGGATCTAAAATTTTGCTTTAATTTCCCATTTCGCATTTGTCTATTTCGAAAGTGAGTTGTAGATCGAGTTAAGTTTGATTGGACTGACTGCATCGAGAATTAGTTATGGGCACATTCTAACTCTTCATTTGATAAATTGCTTTGATTGTTCTTTGCAGCTTGTCGCCTGTTTGAGGAGCTGCAAAAGGAGCGCCAAAGGGAGGGCCAAAAGGAGGCCCTAACGCTCCATATACTGGACGGTATTCCGGTGGAGCCTGGTGTATATCCGCACATGGCGGCAATTGCGTTTAGTAACTTTGGCACCTTTGTCTATCGTTGCGGCGGTTCGCTGATCTCAAATCGCCATGTCCTGACGGCAGCCCATTGCTTCAATGAGGATTTGCCCGTTCATGCTCGCCTGGGAACGGTGGATATCGAACAGTTGGGCGAATTTTATCAGGACATTGCCATAAAGGTAAGTCAATTTACGTGGCCGTTTAAGCGAAACGCAATTATATGCCAGATTGGATTCTCTTGGGCAGGAAAACATTGCCATACATCCGGAATATGTGAGCACCAGCAAGTACAATGATATTGCCATACTTGAGCTGGTTGAGGAGCCCAGGCTGAGTCTATATATATCGCCGGCGTGCTTGGAAACGAATCTCTTCGATCCGCCAGAAACTGCACAGCTCTTTGTAGCCGGCTGGGGCACCATGAATCAGACCAGTAAATAGTCAAACGTACATAGCTCACCCGATTCATCCGACTCACCCAACTTTCTTCATATAGCTCGACGCCAATCGAAAATATTGCTGCGTGCACCACTCAATACAGTTCCATTGGATCAGTGCAATGTCAGCTTTTCCCAGCAGCCGAATACGAAGCGCTTCCTAAAGGATGGCGTGATTGGGTCGCTGTTTTGTGCGGCGGACAGGAAATTCAAGAAGGCGGATGCCTGCCAGGGTGACTCCGGTGGTCCGCTGATCCTGGAACGGGATATTGTGAACAACAAGTATAGCATTGTGGGCATCATATCATCAGGCTTCGGCTGTGCAACCAAGACCCCGGGCCTGTACACACGTGTCGCCTCCTATTTGGGATTCATCGAGCAGATCGTGTGGCCAAATAATGTTGTTTAACCCATAACTGAGATTAAAGGATCTTCAATGTATAGCACTAAATTCTAAGCAAGTCCATTTAAAATACAAAGCTCAACATGTTTTACTCTAATACCTTAAGAGTTTGACTAATCTCTTGAAATAAGTATTTAGGTGAGAGCACACATAAACTGACAAACGGAAACGGAAACGGAACTTGAAAGTCGTATCACATCGGACTGCTATGTATATAATGAGGTTTCTGTAGTTTATATATTAATTGATATTCCTTAATTAGTTTTTAATTCGAAACTAAGCTATTTGTATTTAAATTTAATTTAATCGTTTGCTTGTCTAGTTCCAAAATCGCGTTGGTTCTTTTCAGTTGTCTGGTTCCGTTTCAACATCTATCCCTGCTGGAACTCTATGCGCTCTATGTCATCCACTCGCCTACGTAAACAGAGCAGCAGCAAGAGCAATGCTACTGTCAGACATGTAAGCTCGCTCTCGCTCTCTCGCGCGCTCTCTCTCTCTCTTTTGCTCTCTCAATCACTCTCTGACAACTGCGCTCTATCGGATGACAGCACTGCCAGATGCAAAAAAACAGGATGGCAAACGCTTTAAGCTTTCGCTTTACAGAGCTTTTGCACAAAACAGCAGTGGTTTAACCGTTACAAATCGCCGCTGCCGTCAAGCAGCTGCTGCTATTGTCAGCTCCTTTTGCTTGGGTCGCCCGGCCCAGCAAGCCCCTGCAATTGCCGCCTCCCCATCTCCCCGTTCCACTCGTCCACTGTTCCACTGTTCCACTGTCGCTGCCGACTCTCGACGCAGCGCGCCCGCTGCCAACACACACGCGTTTCGTACAGGCAACAACTGTTTCAGCTGCTTCTTAAATGCTGCTGCTGGCGCTGTGGGCGCCTCAGTTGGTCGCGGGACTGCGTTGCCGTTAGTTCGTGCCCAGCATTTAGGAAGCGAGGAACAGAAACAGCCTTTTGGGACTGTTACTTCAATAATTTTTTTTTCAAGTGTTTTTTGTTGCTGTTGTTATTGCAGTTGCGCTCGTTGTTGTCGCTGTTGCCGTTGCCGTTGCTGTTGCCGTTGCTGTTGCGCCGTGCAGCATGCAACGCTTTTGGCGCGCCTAGTTTGAAATTTTGTTAACACTTGCAAATTGTGCGCTCATTGGCTATCAAATGTAAGTTTCTGCTCTGTGTTTATTTATTTATTTGTTTGTTCGCTGTTAACTGTGCATGTTACACACATATCGCTTATCAGCGCCACATATTGACGTATTAATCACAAGCTGGGAAATTGTTTTCAATTGTACATCTGCTGCGGCCCATTCTTGTGGATAAGCATCGAATATAATAAAAAAAAAAAAACAAAACCAAAAAATAGTAAACATATATAAATAAAATAAAACTAAAAAAAAAAAAAAAAAAAAAAAAATGTCCAGTAGCCTGGTCACATTTGCATCAAAGGGCAACGTGTGCTGCGATAAGAACCGTAGACAACAGGTGCTCGATGTTCGGAATCTTAACTTAATAATCTTGCTTTATATTTGTTGTATTCGCGGCGAGTTATTTGATTTCAACTTTTTGTGATAAAACTATTTAAATACAAGTTTATTTGCTGTGATTTGGTGAAACTTTTCTTGCTTTTCTTTCATATTTTGGAGTTGTAGCTTTTTTATTGTTGTTTTTTATTATTAAAACAATTTTGATTTGGTTTTTTTTTTTATTTTTTTCAATTATATTTTGATAATCCTCGAGATACAGCATTGGGGCAGCACCGAAAATTTTGAAAACTCTCTAGTTCTTGAGAAAACTTTTCTTAAAACAACTTTTAACTCTAACTTTAATTTAAATAGAAACTAATAGATCAGTTGGTCTGAGCTTTTGATTGTTTAATTGCTTTTCGAAAGCAAAACAAATTTAACTGTGGACCCAAAATCCGTTCATGCTTTGCATATTTTGCTTCATTTTCGTGTGTTGTCTCGTCTTTTTATGAGTTATTTTATTGCTGTTCTTAAATAATTTTTCTTTTATTGTCTTATAATTTTAATGAGCGGCGGGACAACGTCGTGCAATCAGATAAATGTAATTTGTTTTCTTTGTTTTCTTAACCATTTTTAATTTGAATGAGAAGTGAAATGCTAGCGATATCAATTAAATTGATTTGCAGACTCTTTTTGGGCCTACTTTTAATTGTTTTAGGAATTTGTAGATTTTTAGATTGTAAATTCGAGCTGTTCTTTTATTGAATTCGGGCTTAAGCCGCTTGAATAGAAGGCAGACTAACTAGGCTCTCAGGTAAAGAAACCCGCTTAAAATCCAATTGGAATTTTTAATAATGGGCTCTATTTCTATCAAGAATTGATTGCTGCACTTGAGTTGAGAACTCGAAATATAGCCATAAAACAATAAATAGCATATTAATTAATATAAAATGAGAACGAACAATGAAAACAATTTCTTAAAGCTAGCTATAAATTAACTTTAACTCCATTTATTTGCGGCATTGTTGCTTAAATAATAGCCATAGAGAGTTGTCATTAAACTGACAGCATGTTTAACTGGCTTATCACTCAAGTTGGCTGACAATGCAATATTTGTGTTCCGGTTGATAAATTGCCATCGATGCGACAATTTTCACGCTCAACCGGCCAATCAATTAGAAATTATCAAGTGAATTTTAAAGCAATTTATTAGTCGGTTTTGTGCTGGAAATTGGAGAGAGTGTCGTTAACTGTTGCTGCTGACTGCTACTGCTGATTGCTACTGCTGACTGCTACTGCTACTGCTACTGCTACTGCTACTGCTACTGCTGACTGCTGGCTGCTGCTCATGTGTGTCTGGGGTACGTGGGTGTCCTTCGAATATTGCCGACGGCGTTCGGTTAGAAAATGTGGCTATAAATGTGACACTAAGTTAATAAATTTATGGCCCAAACACACCCAGCTGATATGGTGTGTGTGTGTGTGTGTGTGTTGTGGTCTGCTGCTAATTTTCCTGTGTGTGTGTGTGTGTGTGTGTGTGGCGGCTATGACACGACAACGCTGCGGACATCAGCAAGGCGGATGCCAAAAAGTCGAGAATTGTGTGTGTTGTTGGCATATTAATAATATTTTTATTGGCCGCTTATTTGCCTTTTGCGGTTGAGCTGCACGCTTGTGTGTGTGTGTGTGTGTGTGTGCTAAATACTGTACTAATTTGAGCTGACAAATACAATCGCCCACAAGTTGTGACCTCTTTTAATTAATAAATATACGCGCAGATAACGCAACAAAAAGAAGCAGAAGAAAAAACAAAAAAATTAATAATATTCATTCACAAGCACAAAATCAATTTTCCCCATTTTATTTACCTTAGTTTTTTTTTTTTTTTTTGCCTTACCTTTGTTGCCTTTTATTCACTTAAATTAAAAACAAACGTTGAGGCAGGTCGCAGCTGTGCTTCTGTCAGCTAAAACAAATTGAAGTCATTTTTCTATATTTATACAATATTTATGCACATCACATCTGAAAGTTAGCGACAACAAACGATCCCATTGAATATTCATGTGAGAAAAACAAAAAAAGTGTTTGACTGAAAGCAATTACAGGTGCTCGCGTTTGGTCGGACAAATTGCATATAAATATTCATAATTTATTGATAATTTATTTTATATGGAAACAAACCCATCTGGCTGAGTGTAGGCACTTGACAGTCGGCTGTCAGCGACTGCGTAATGCCCGTCCTCAGCTTTAAGATTCCCTGATCCGTCAAGTATCCAAGAAGATGATGACTTTTCCGATTTAAGCGCATTCAAACTAGTTTTGTACTGTTCATTGGAGCAGTTCTCAGTTTTAAGATTGGTTTATATATAGATTAGGCACGATTTGCCATGCTTACAACAGCTTAACACCATATCTGATCCACAAATATATTGTAGTCTTATATTCAAAGTCAGAATACATGAACATCTATTAAAATGAAGTCTATTGCGGCTGTGCGCTGAAAAGTATGCTATACTTTTGAGACAAAGAAATATCTCTTGAGGCTGGAGCTTCGCTCTTTCATTAGAAGTTGAGATAATATGGAATTTGTTCAATGTGCGTCCAGCTGACCATCCGATTATGGGGCGTGGCAAATCGGCAAAATGAACATCGCTTATTAAATCTGGCGGATGGAGGGCTTTAAGCTGTTATTGACCTGTGAACGCGTATTACACGGTCGTGTGCAACCGACTGCAACATTCTTGTTTGTTTAATTTAATTTAATTTGATTTTTTTTGCAATTATTTTCGCAAAGCTTTCCGCAAACTTTAAACAAAGCCCGCATTGCTCATAACGAAATGAATGCATTTAACAGCTTAATGCAGCGATTACTGATTTTCTATGGCATCCATAACATATTTGTATATGTATATGTATATATGTGTGTGGCGCAATTAGTATGATGCTCAATATTTAAGTTGACTTTGGGCTCAGTGTCACAGCATTTAAGTATATAGGCGTTAATGGCTTAACTTTGTTTTTAAAACAGATGAGCTATGTGGGATAAAATGTGGAGGAGTATAGATTATCACGCAAAGGGACCTGTTATAATCCTGATAAGCAGTTATCGGGCATCGAATCCTTGTAACACATGTCAGTGAAACTGTCGCTCAGTCTAGAACTTGGCAGAGATGCATTTGCCCAACTCACATAACTGCCAAATGGGTCAAACATATAGTCGATGTCGAGGTTTGTCAGCCCAGAGAACTCAGTTTCTTTTGTTTTCCCCGATTTCAAGCAGTTTTACATATATTTTATTTAATTTAAAGACAAATAGTTGCAGATTGTCAGCCCAGCAAGCAAAGAAAATGATAGGAATGTAATCGACTTATTGCTGTTCATTGGATTAGCTGCAATAGATTGTTTTTTAATTCTCACACGATGCCACACCAGCAGTTGCCTTCCAGTTTTGGCGCTCTGCCCGCCCTCCGCTTCTCTTGCTGCATTACAAACATTGTGACAAATTAATAGTTCCATCTGGACAAGAACGCAAGGACCAAGTCGACCTGTACTATATATATATATATATATATGGATATAAATATAGCTCTTAGAACCTCTCTCCGCATACAGCTAAATCTAAAGCCGACTTAAGCATAGATTTGCCACAGATACTTTGATGCCGCTTTGAGGAATGCAGCAATAAAAATGCCAACGCAGGAGGGTCGCTGAGAAGGTGAGGCATGTGGCAAGGGGCGAGGGTTGACGACAAACGGAGCGAGGGTCGAGGCCAAAAAGTAAGCGGCTAATGGCGTTAGTTACTTAGTGGAGGCGTTTGGCTAGGCTGCTGATGGAGCCTGCAGCCTGACGATTCACGCAATTGTGTGTGTGTGTGTGTGTGTGTGTGTGTGTGAGTGTGTGTGAGTGTGTATGTGTGTGCGCTTGTAATGCACATAAATTTAGACAAGTTCATTTTTGTATAGCGCGTAAATCTTTACACAAATCTCTCATTTCGCTGGGTCATACGAGGCCCAAACAAAAGAAACAAGTTAAAGTGCTTCAGTCGGGAGTGCTCAGCTACGAGATACTCTGCATTCGCTTCAAAAATACACTGTGTGCTGTGGCTATGCTTCTCCCCATCATGGGAAACGCGTTCTCGCATAACTCTTCGGTGCTTAAAGTCTTTACGAGAATATGTGACGACGTTTGGGAGGAATTCACAAACTGAGCTGTAAACAAGATACGAGAATCTATCTATCAAATTGGTTGTTTCTATGATCTTCGAGCTATGGCCTTGTTTTGTTTAACGATATTTATCGGTATTATGATATGAGATATATTAAAAATATACGATATTCAAGCTTGTAGCTTTTGTTGTTTCCGAACTGTGTATGTACCGACTCGGCTCGTCGTTTCAACATACCTTCTTTCGTTCAAATTCAATGCATACAGGGTATAAAAAATCACTGCATACGAAATCGCTTGAAGGAAACGAAAAGATAAACAAAGCATAACGGTAATACACTCACAGTGAAAGAAAAAAAAATAAACGCAAATTACACATATATCTATATATAGATACACATATACATATATGTATATATATATACATATTTAGCTTATATAATGCTCTCATATGGCACTTAGTTCGCAGTCGAAGCCGGGGCCATGTGATGTTAGACATAATTTTTGTTCTTTTTCTTTCGGAGCCTGTCATT